TCCGCCTCCCCCACGCCCCCAGGTCTCTTGGGAGCAGGACCCCCGGGAGCTGGGCTCGGATGGGGATTCTGGAAACAGGTCTCCACCGCTTCCTGAGCACCTCCGGGGACTCAGGTGCTATTAGGGGAGACGCGCAGGAGGCGAGAGGCAGTGCGGTCCAGTGGCTAGGGCTGCGGGAGGGCCGGGTTCAGGCGCAGTGGCCGTGGGAGACCCCGGCAGCCCCGCCCGGCCTCAGGAGCCTCACCGAGAAATGGGAATGTCAGGACGTAGCTCACCCACCCCTGATAACAACCCTACATGGGGGCTCTGAGCCCGCCTTTACAGATGAGGAAACTGAGGCACAGGGGTTCGGCGACACACCGAGGACACACGGCTGGTAAAGGCCGGAGCTGGGATTGGAACCTGCAGATCAGCACAGCACCCAGGCTCTGAACGACCGACCGCGCGCAGGCAGGGGCCCTGAGAGCACCCCCACCCTGGTCCCCATTCACGAAATTCTGAGCATCTCCCCGGGGCCTTAGGGCGCGTGGAACAAACAGAAGCATTCCTGGAGCTGGGGTGTGTGCTGGAGTTCCCAGGCATGCAGGCCAGGGGGCCTCCTTGGAGGGGGAGGCGTGCAGGCTGCCCGGCCTGTGAGACCTACCGGGCAGGACCAAGGCCAGGCCTGCAACTGAGTCAGGTCAACAATATTTAAAGAAAGAAAGGAGGAAGGAAAAGAAACGTGGTTCCTAGAGGCCTCCAGAGAAGGGAGCCTGGGCTTCCGGGGGCTCCCCCAGGAGGCCGGCCCCACCCCAGCCAGAATCCCAGGCAAGGGGCTCAAGAGCTGGTTTCATCTCCGGCCAAGCTGGCCTCCGTCCCGGACACTCAGGGCCAGGGACGAGGCACGGAGGAGGGGCTCCGCTCCTCGGGGAGTCCCACAGGCAGGCTTCCCAGCTTCACTTCCCAGGAGGCCCCCCCAACCCGCAGGAGCAGAGATGAGGGTGGCCGGGAGGGGCCAGGACCTACCCCGTGTCACAGTGAGTGAGAGCCCTCGGCCTGCAAACCCCAGGCCCTCTCTCTTTTCGTCACACCCCTGGTAGCTACTTGCCAGGGGTAAGGAGGGAAGAGGTGGCCCTGCCGCCCCCCCCCCCAGCCCTGGGCAAGTCATCGGTGAAGGAAGGAGCCCTTCTCTTCTACCCACTGGAGGGAGCCACCCAGGCCACCCAGGTCNAGGGCTCTACCCACTGGAGGGAGCCACCCAGGCCACCCAGGTCCTCGGGCCATTTCAGGGCTGCTGTTGGGGTTCACGGCCTCTCTGAAATCGGTGCTCACTTCTGGACCACTGCTCAAACCGTTCCTGGGCTTGTAACTTCTCTCCCTCCCTGGCTCACCTTCAGGTCTCAGCAAATACACCGCTTCCTCCAGGAAGCCTTCCCTGACCCCCCTCCCACCCCCCGAATCACAGCTCTGTCACTGCAGGGTAAGTGTGGGGTCATTTGTCAGGCAGGAACTGGGACTCACTGTTTTCTGTCTCTCTGGGACCCACCACAGGGCCTGGCCCAAGGTAAACTCACAAATATTTTCCCAGTGTTGAGTGACTGAATGAACGAACAAAGGAATGAACAAACAAGGAGGCACTGGGAGGGTGCGGGCTGTCTCCAGGGTCTCCTCACAGAGCATAAAGGCCTGGCCAGTGCTGAGTCACGTGAGACCATGTCCACAGGGCAGGAGGAAGGGGCTTGGGGCAGGACGGGGGAGTCAGCCATGCCAGCCACTGTCCCCTCCTCCTTCCAAGGATATGTCACCTCATTAATTCTGAACAAGACCCAAGGTGCTGACACATTTTTATAGCTACCAGTCTGGAGGAGGAGCGAACATCTCCGGAAGGAAGGTGAGGGGCGATGCAGTGGGGCCGGGGAGTCAGAGAAGCCCCCGGGGCCCTGTCCATGCCCCAGGCCTCAGCTCAGCCACCCCAGCCTGGGACTGCCACCCCCACCCCCTCCCAGCCCTGAGGCCAGTGAGCAGTGTGACTACAGGAAGGTCTCGCAGGCTTGAGCAGACCCTAGAGTCTGGAGGAAGGCTGGGGAGGCTCCTGCATGGCCCCCAGAAACCTTGGCAGAGTCCTGGAGGCAGCCGCAATGCAGCTGGGTCTCTGGGGTCTGCTGTCCACGCTTCCACGGGGTGACTGCACCCCCAGCGGAGGGACCAGTGGGCCAAAGGGATCTCCAGACAGTAGGAGCTCCTACCCACCTCAGGGCCTTTGCACATGCTGTTTCTGCCGCCTGGAGCACTGCACCCCTTTGGCCTGGTGCAGCCTTTAGTCTGAGCCTGAGTTTTCTGCCCTGAGAGGCCTGTCCAGCCCCCAGACCAGCCCCCTTGTTCTGGGCCGTGGCCCTGGCCTGGGCGTCTGTAATTAAGTCGCTCTTTGGTTTCGCTTGTCTGCCTCTTCCATCCGAGTCTGGACTCTAGGGAGAGCGGGTGCTGGGTTTGTCCTGTCACTGCTGCATCCCCAGGACTGAACAAAAGGTTTGGTTTCGAAAATACTTGTGAATGACTATAAAAACGAAGGAATCCTCATTCCAGAAAAAGATTTGAAGTCTCAACTTTACCCTCAAAAGGGCCAGACATGGTTTCTTAGGTGCGACCCCCCCAAAGCGCAAGCAACTAAAGAAGAAATGGTGAGTCAAACATCCCCGAAATTAAACACGTTTGTGAACACCATGGAGAAAGTGAAAAGAGAACCCACAGCGTGGCAAAGATATTTACAAAGCATCCGTACGACAGGGCGCTCAGACGCAGAAAGCAAAGGGCCCGCCGAGCTCCACAGCAGCACGTGAAATAATGCCGTTTAAACACGAGCAAAGGATCCGAACGGACGTTTCTCCAGAGAAAGCACACAAATGACCGAGACGCACAGGGGAAGATGCTCAGCGTCATCAGTCACCGGGGACACACGAATCAAAACCTCCGTGAGATAGCGCCTCAGGCCGCGGGGGTGGCCAGGACCGGGACAGACAGTGAGCGGCGCAGGAAGGGGGAGCTGCAGCCTCGGGCTGGGGGCGCGGAAAGGGGCGCGGCGCTCTGGGAAGCCCTCTGGGGGCTCCTCCGGGAAACGTGGAGCTACCATGGGGCCCAGCAAGGCCAGCCCCGTGGACGCCCAGGAGAAATGAGAACACACGTGCGCACAAACACGGACACGGGGTCAGGATGGCCTGGCTCACGACACCCGAGTGCAAGCAGCCCAGGCACCGCCAGCTGATGGCGGGGACGCAAAACACTACTAGCACCTCCTGCGACGGAGCCTTGTTCCCCTGCAGAGGCGTAAAACACGCCCGTGTGCACGGGGCCACCCTCCAAACACCGCGCTGAGCGAGAGAAGCCAGCGCCGCTCGCGAAAGGCCACCTAACGTGTGCCTGGCTCACGGGAAGCGCCCAGAACAGGCAGATCTACAGAAACAGTCGGCTAGCGGTTGCCAGGGGCTGGGGGGAGCAGGGGGGGAGGCCAAAGGCGGGCACAACTGACCACCTCGCAGTCTCGGGGGTCTCTGGAAACTCCCGGCCTCCAGGGCTGGGCTGCTGTCCGCCTCAGGGCTCCGAGAGCCAGGGGTTCACATTTCCAGGCCCCTCTGGTCGCATCTGGTCCCGTCAGCCCAGTTTTCTCTGCTCCTGAGACCCCCCCAAACCACACTCCAGAGAGTGGGGGCACCTGGGGGAGTAGGGTGCGGGGTGGGTGGGGGTCGGGAGGCATTGAGGAGGGTGGCAGAGGCTCTCTGCTCAAAATTTGGTCTAAGAAGGGGGTTGGCGTCTGGTTTTAATCTGAGGTTGGTGGCCAAATGCCAAATTTATTGTAAAACCTACATTTTAATAAGGGGCTGGTATCTGGAGGAAAGCTGCCCTCATTAACCATTTCCAGACCAGGGTGGAGATGCTGCCCGGGGCTCCGCGTGGGGTGTCCTCGCCCAGTTCGGGGCTGCGGGGCCTCTCGGGGCCCACAGCCGGCACCTGTGAGGCTGCAGGCCCGGCACAGAGATGCTCCGATTTCTCGTGGCTCGAGTCCCGAAACAAGCCCACCAGCAACTCTAGGGTCTCTACCCACTATCCTCATCTTCTCGAGGACTCAGGCCTGAAGGGACCTCACAGGTCACCCGTCAAAGCTCCTCACTTTTGCAGATGGGGAAACTGAGGCATGGTGAGGGCCGGTGACTTGGTCAAGGCAATGGGCCCCCCCAGTTCGGTCCAGTGAGAGTCAAGCCCTGAGGACACGCCTTTTCCTCCCTCCTGCTCCCTCTCCGTTCCTGGGTTCCCTGGGGGTGGGGGGAACGGATAGGGGAGAGGAGCCCTGACTCAGCAATTAGACATGGTTGTGGGGGACACAGCCAGCTGTCCACCCAGAGAGCAAATGACCGCCCCCTCGGCCTCTGACAGGAGAGCAGCCGAGACAAAGGCAGTGCCCACGGGCCCTCTCCTGAGGTTGGCAGGGCCTCCCATGCCCCTGGCCCTGGGTGATGCTGCACCCCCAGAGAACTGACCTTTAAAGCGTCGCTGGAGGTTTTCATGACCCATTTGCGAGCTCCAGGCGGGCTGGAAAATGTGAGTTTGAGGCCCAGCTCAGCAGAGCCCCAGGGCTGTCTTGAGTGTTTCTGCCCCAATCCTGACCACAGCTCGGCCCCTGGGGAGCAGGAGGGCTCCTCCTTCCCTGCCTTTTTTTTTTTTTTAACTTCAATTTACTAAACTTTCATTTTGTGCCTGGCAGTGGGACGTAAAGCCCTGCCTTCTATGATGTGGAAGGCACTGCGATTAAGCTTTGTTCTCAGCTGGGGACAGTGAGGTTCAGAGAGGTGAAGTAACTGGCCCAGGTCACAAAGCCAGGCAGCGATGAGACAGGGGTTTATGTCTGGTCTGTCCCCAGAGTGTCTGGTATCTGGAGGTAAGTGGCCCTCACATTTCTAGATCAAGGTGAGGTGCAGTTGAGGACCCAGGTGGGGTTTCCTCTCCCATATAAGCTCCTGGGCCCCTCAAAGCCTGGAAGCCTGCAGCCCACAGCCAACACCTGCTGGAGTCGAGGTGAGGGCTGGCATCTGGGCATAGAGACCGCCTAGCGGACCACTCCTCTCTACTTAAATCTACTTAAATCTGAAAGCTCTGCCCACACCCACAACCGGGCTCAGGGGTCCTAGTGCTCGCAAGCCTTCTGGTCCCCTGCTGTGTCAGTGGGGTGGGCGCCCGTCTGTGTCCCAGCCCCACCAGCGGGGTGCACACTTGGACCCTGGGCACGGAGCCATCTGTGGCATCCCTACCGGGTTCCCAGTCACACCCTTGGACAACAGCAAACCCTGACTCTAGAAAATTCTCCATGACAGTAAGCCACGATCCCTCTTCCTGTAGGTGTCCCCAGTGGTCCTGGGCTTACACTTTGAGAGGCAACACACGGAGGCTCTTCCCAGGACCACCTTGCTAACATTTGAAGGCAGTCTCTTCAAGGCCTTCAGCTGTGGTGACTCTGGGAACCTGCCCTGTCCCTCTCTGTCCCCCGGGCAAGGGTTGACAGCAGGTCTCCCAAGTTTCTCAAAGGGGTGTCGCTGACAGTTTCCTTTGGAAGCCCTGGGAAGCCTGGTTAAAAGATGCTCTGATGCCCTGAATGTGCCTGAGGGGGGGGTGTCTACCCTTTACAGATGCTTCCGGAGAAGCCAAAGGATCAGACAGGGAGCCCTGCCGGTCACAGTCTGAACTTGCCTCTATCCTGGCACCTGGCACCGTGTCCGCACATAGTAGATGCTCAGTTAAATGCTGAATGAATAAATATCTGAATGAATGAATGGAATCTGGGTCCTGATGGGGAGTATTCCCCATTATCTGTTCATCCAAACAGTTGAAGCCTTTTAGTACTCTCAATCGGTGTAAACTGTTCAAAGCTGCCCACTTCCCTGACCCTCCCATCAGCAGAAACAAATTTCTTTACTGGGTTTTTTTAATGTAGAGGCCAATGCATGAGCAAGAGAAACGCCCTCCCAATGGGAAAAGCTTCGGCCTGGCTTTGCTGCTGTCAAGGTCAGAGGCAGGGGGAAGAGTGGAGGCCCTGGGATGGGTCTGCTGGGCTGGCCCTGGAGGCAGCGATGGCGAGACAGGACTGGGGGTCAGGCAGCTGGCTATCCCCATGCCCTCTCAGCTGGACCCTCCCTCTACCTCCTGAGGGTGTGGAACCAACGGCCTTGTTCTGTGAGCCTCCAAACTCAGGAGGGATTTGATCTCAAGCCTGAGGTTTGGTCTCGGGCGTCTGGGTTGGAATCCCACCTCCTCCAGACTGTGACCTTGAGCCTGTCACTGCCCCTCTCTGGGCCTCCGTTTCCTCCTGAAGTGGGCCTATGATGATTCCACCAAGATGACAGTGACGCAAGAGGGAGTGGCCACCACAGCACAGATAGGGCCAAAGCCTGGCCACCCAGGTCTCAGCCCTCCCCATCCCCGGGACCCTGGCGATGGTGTCGCTCCCCACCCAGGCACCTAAGAGAGGTTTCACTTTTCAGTGTTGATGTTTATGGAGCTGACACCCCTTCCCCCTACTTGGCACCCCAGCCCCCTGTTTCCAGAACAGGGAAGTCTGCAGAGGCTGGGAAACTCCACTCTTGCCACATATCTTCAAAGGTTTTCTATGAAGCCTCTTTTAGAAAGCGTGGGAGAAGGGCTGCAAACCAGGGGTCTGCCCCAATCCCAAAGGCCCTGCTGAGGCCCAACTCAGAGTCCAGCGCCCCTGACCCCTCCCCTCTGCTCCTAATGCCCCTGACCCCTCCCCTCTGCTCCTAATGCCCCTGACTCCTCCCCTCTGCTCCTAATGCCCCTGACTCCTCCCCTCTGCTCCTAATGCCACCTCCATCTAGGTGGGACCCAAGTGTCTCACCCACCCCCTCCCCGCCTTCCTAACCTCCCGAGCTGGGCGCGGTCCTGCAGGGGCACCCGAGCCCAGGCGGTGAGACCTGGGAGCTTTAGGGGCCCAGCCCCCTCACTTTCCAGGACCCTGAGGAGGCCCCGAGAGGGAGGCAGCTGGTCCTGGGATGGGGGTGGGCCAGCCGCTGACCCGCAGCCAGGGCTGAGGACCGTCCTGTGGTTGAAACAGGTCCGGTGCCAAGCTGGGCCGGTCCTCCAGGCGTCTCCCCCGTGGGCGAAAGGCCCCTCCGAATCCACGCGTCCCAGGGCCGCCACCCCCACCGTCCCATCGCCACGTTTCCTGCCCTCCCCCGTTCCGGCCTTTCTCCGTGCGGCCCAAAGTCTTCGTCTCCAGGGAAGCTCTGACTCAGAACTTTAAAAACCTTGCGCACGAATTTAAGAAAACAAGCCCGGGGGTGGCGGTGCGGGAAGAGTCCCTGGTCCCCGCGCGGGGGTGTCGCGGAGGCTGGGCTTCCCGGGAGCCGTCCCCCTCTCCCCCGGGACCGGGCCTGAGGGCGGGGCAGCCCCAGCCCGGAGCCCCGCGTGCCCCGCGTGCCTTTCGCGTCTGGGCGGGGCTCTGTTAGCGAGCGGCTGGGGGTGGGGTAGGG